ATAGCAGCCGACCCAGGCTCCGCTAAAATCCTGGTATCCGGCCGAAACAGGGTGATCGTGGAGAAAGATCAATGTGCACGAAATAAACATGCTGGAAACATGTCAAATGTGCGAATCATTCCTGAAGGTCGTTCTCTTTGGAGCCATATGGCCCGGGCCCGCCATGTGTGTCATGCTATGCCCTCCCATGTCTGGTGTTCCGTTCTGGGCAGCGCAGCACTGTGACCTCCGCGCCTGGTTCCACCTTCTGCTGCACCAGCTCCAACAAACGTCCCAGGCCTTGGGAGTTGAGAAAAGGGAGAGAGGTGATGTCTACGGCCAAAAAGGATCAAACAGCATCCAACTCAATCCAGTTAGGTGGCAAACATTCTGGAATGGCACGAGTTGTTCTCCACCGAAGCAGTCAAGCTTCACAATATCACATTGGTGTCCTTTCTGTTGTATAGCTCCATGTTGGTCCATAGGACGTTTGGGAGGAAAAGATGACCGCATGTTCCGGTACCTTCTGAGCTGCCAAAACTGTGACCCCCTTGGCCCATTGGCAGGATGCACTACTGGAGAGCGTGGTATACAAGCATGACATAGCATGACCCGTCATCAAATCGACCTTGCCAATTCATTTTTTACATCAGACTTTCCTAAAAGAAAAAGGCTCAAAGCTGCCGCCCAGGCCACTCATCTTCCGCACTGCAGGCACCAGAATGCGCAAGTGCTGTTGCTGCGTCCGCCGCGAGGTGCCGGGCGTCGCGGGGGACGGCTGGAGGCCGAAGCGGAGGTGTCGGCGCAGGGCGACGAACACCAGCGCCATCTGATCGAGCCTGGAGGTCGGTGTGTGGCGTCACAGGCCCGGTTGGTATAGTTGATTCAGTTGGGGAACGGGTAGGACCGGGTAGGAGGTGCAAGTGTTTTCGGGGACAAGAATCTTCTACAGTATATGTCAAGCTATATGTGAAGCTTAGTTATATAATATCTAGGAGATTTGGGAAAGAAACAAAAGGCTTTGCGGAATTGTTCAAGACCCTAAACTTGTTTTGGTGGTTGGAACAATAGTGTTTTCTTTCAGCATTGCCATGTTCAATCGAGTTTTAGTCTCCCCTGCCTGCCTTGAGGTTGAGCTAAACCCTTCTATCAAGCACCTTTTAATAACTATATTGCCAAAAGCGACCAAGTGGGTAGTCTACAGGCATCCTGGAATTGATATATATATATTATATATATATACAAATACCAGTATTATAAAAGTTGTTCAGGGGCTTGGAATGGTTTCAATCCCTTTGTAAGTATTGTTTACCACCCGCGTGTAATATTTCTCCCCTCAACCAATGATTTCTTTCAGCACAGGCAAAATGAACATTAACTATTTTGCTGCCAGTGATCCCCAAGGTAAGAGGTGACTTTGAAAAAACTGACAAACGTTGCCTGACATGTGCACCGACACAATGTTCCGACATATGGCTCATATATATCTTCTGGCATGTACGTTTCACATGTGCTCTCGCATTAAATCTGGCATGTGTTCTGAAACGTGTTGTGACGTAGGATCAAACTTCGGTTCAATGTGTTCGGACATTTGTTCTGCCATGTATTGTGACAATTGTCATGCACTTGAACCTGCTATTTGGTCTGACATCTGTTCTGACAAATGTTCCGACATGTGTTCTAGATTCTACCACTTACTCTGACTCTGACATTTGTTCTGAACACATTTGTTCAGCCTGTCGCCAATGGTCTAGTGTGCACGACTCCGCAGACCGACCAGGACCGACCAGTATGGTCGGTCTGAACGGGAACACGTTTGGATCCGAGACCCTGACAGGTGGGGAAAAAGCAAAGGATTCGTGTTGACTTCGGTTTGTTCCCAATTCTACAAATCCTTTTTCCTTGAACCGCTTTTTCGATTTGGGGTGGTGTCCTTCTTTGGTAGAAAAGGCCTTTTGCTCCAAATCAAGATCCTTCAGGAATTTGCCAACTCCGATAGGAACAGGGTCCCGTTCACAAACCGGGACCGCAGCTGATCGGACTTGACGTGCATTACAACTTATATACCACTGTTTTGGAGGATCAACTAGATATCCAACATGTGGCACCTTTGCCTATCAAGAAGGAGGTCGTGATTGGGTGGTAGGCATGTATCTACATAGCATACTATATATATAACTTTATATAACATATTAATACACAATGAACGATTGTTATATAGACCCCCCCGTGCTTAGTCAAAATGCCCACCATCTTGATAAGGTCAAACACCTCCTATACACTTGGTGATCATTGCACACCTCAGAAGCTTCACGTCCAGGTTCCAAACATGAGTCAACTCCTCCCTATGCGCCCACTGTCAGGCCAAAGGGCATGCCGTTCTGCTGACACTTCCGTTGGAGATGAGTTAGCGCAAAGGAGAGGACCTGAACCAAAGGTCGCCCAACACGTCCGGGCGACGGCGCATGCGCATGCGGCGAACGGGGTGTCATCCGTGGATCAGCATACCACTTAGGCTATCCCAAACTCCATCATTCTAGACAATATAATTAGTGAAGCTTGCCAAGGGGGCGAAGAAACTGGTAATTTATGACGACGACTCTTGTTCGGACAAACTGAAGCTGCACAAAAGTTCCAGAAACACAAGCTCTTTTCTTTTTTCACCGCTGTGCTGTGGGTCGAAAGATGTGCGATATCGTGCGATGCTTCGAACAAATCTTGAGCGTTGACCCCTAAGACTCAAACCCACATCTTATTACCAGCTTTCAACCATGCGTAGCATAGGCCAAAGTGCCTAGGGTTGCTTATGTGCTCCACGCGTTGGCGTCGGCTCCATTGCAAACCACTTAGACGATGCATGAAACAGTGGGAGAAAGTAGATCTACTATATTGACACTAAGCCGTCCGCTCCAAAAACGAGTTTCAGACTGCCTGACCAAAAGACAAGTCTCAAAAAGTGCGAGTTCCATGGGCATTTCACACATTGGATTTATACCTTTGGCACTCGGCTGAAGTTGTAACATAGTATTTTGGCTCTATCCCATTGCCAGCAACAGTGGATGATGATGGTTAGTAAAGACCTTTCTGATCTCTAAGATAGTGATAATTGTCTACCAACTGTTACAGGTATATAATAGGGCAGATCCAAATCATATTGTATACACGTATGCTGTAGTATACAGCTTATCCCTGAGTGAGATCAAACTTCTTGAGTGTGTCATACTTCTAGGTTGCTCCAATTACCAGCTATACACTGTATACTTTTCAAACCTGAAGATCCAACCAACAGTCAGTCGGGGGAGCAAACAAATGCCTCGGATTCGCTCATTTGCTCAAAGATCTGCCGCTGGGATTTGTCCATCTTCACCTCGTAGGCAATGCTGAATAGGACTGGGCGAAACCGGAAATAAGAAATAAGCACGCCCTGAAGCAAGCAGAGTAGGTGCAACAATACGCTGGGGATCCACATGTATACCTTGTAAGTGTGACTTGAAGGCTGACACCGACACCTAGACTTTTTGGACGTATTCTTCCGTGACGTGTGATTTTGTCTCTCAATGCAAAGTGAAGTTTTGGCATCCAAGAGCGGAAAAAATGGGGAAAGGACAACACTTGTCAACAATTTGATATACATCATTGCAGGACTCCAAGACAGCTCTTCTACGGAAGAGCTGTCTCGGCTTCTACAGCTACGTACGAGGGACACTTGGATGGTCGGGGACGCATGGTGTCCACATGGTGTCCGCATGATTTTGAGTCGGGAGGTTCCACAGTTGGATGAAGGCCCTGTTCAGAAAGAGACAGGATTGGCTCGGCCAGATTCTAAGGGATGATGCTTGTCGAGCAGACGATGCCATACTTTCGCGAAAGGAATGAGAGACACCATACGGATAGGGGGATGTTTATACATAAACAAGGATGGCAAATGCTTTAATACATGGGACGGCTTTCGGAATGGATGTACTTTTGCAGGAGAGGACACACCTGGAGCTGATATTTAGTCAAACCACTTTAAAGGATTTCTTCGACAAACGAGTTGTTACGTTTCTCATAAGCCTATATTCGTGGGGATTCAGTGCCCAAAGAAGCAACACGAGCCAAATTTAAGTCCCCCGCAAAAAATGCAAAACATATCTATATATATATATATAGGTGCGGTTTCTTCTCTTCCAACTAGATCTTCGAGAGGCTTCAAAAAACAAGATTGTGGATTGATATGGATATGGATTGACTTCTAGCTGAACGGAGATGTCTTCGGCTCAAAATCACAGCCTTTGCTGTCTCGTGGGGCGCATGGCAAAACCTCAGCTGTCGTGATCTCACTTCGCTTCACCGGTGTCGAAAGGTCGACGTTCCCGACCGATCATCATAACTATCTCCGATTTGCTGTTTGGGGACCCAAGCTCAAATGGGCTTTACAACGCAACTGGGTCACCATGTCCTTCTACCCAAGGAACAAATTGGACCCTCCTAGGCAGGGATCAAAACCGGGCACCAGAAATCCCGCTCGGAGGGATTTTGAGGCACCCAGTGGGGGCATCACCTCGGGCACACCACAAGGCCCTGGCCCTAACCGATCTTGTCCTGACAAGCACACGGTTGATGGACGTATTAGGCTGCCAAGGATTTCTCAATATTCCTAACTTTAGGTCTACACCCACGGATCAGCTAACAGCTAACAATTCTCCAACAGGCTCTTCCTGTCTACAAGTCAATCAACATCAACCAAAAAGGTGCAAGTATGATCAAGTATGTAGGTATGCCCCACCTGTAACCTAACATCGTCAACATTCGTCAACAGCAAACCAACAAAATTAAAGAACGACAGCACCGGGCACGGCGTCACTTTTCTCACCAACCGTGTCGGGACTGATGACCAAAGTTCAAAAACGCAGGAACTCTGGCTATACACACAAATGAACATAATGAACAAATGGATTAGCAAGGATGTCACCACACCTGATTTTGTGTGTGTGGCATTGACCCACACTATATATACATCCCTGTCGACAACAAGAGGTGCTCCCTGCCCACAAACAGCTGGTTGTTTCCAGATCCAGGCACTCGCAGCTCTGCCCCTTGAAACAGGTGCCATAGATGAACCGAATGCATGGCCGGCCGCACAACTCTGGATGCCCTAAGCCTCAGAGGACCGGACTCCCGACTCGTCAGCTCGGAGCTCGGAGCTCGGAAAACTGTGCCAAGCACCCAATTGTTCCCAACGAACAGTATGTGAACATGTATTGACCTCGCTACGCAGGGAACATCGATCACAAGCAGGACACCAAGATCGGGATGGCAAAGTGGGGCGAAAAATCTGGCCTTGAACTATGTTTATTTTGGGTTCGTCGTCTCATCCAATTTAACTCCAGAGTCTTTGGAACCGATTCACCATTGTTTCCTTTGTTTTGGGGGTAGCAAGGTGTGACGTTAGAGCATTGTCGTCGAAAAGGTTCGAATGGGGCAACGCGTGGTTTGTCTAAAATTGGTTGTATAGTATATTTATACCGTACCATGTGATAAAGAAAAAACGAGTCAGGAGTCACCTTTAAAGAGTCACAAGAATCGTCTCTATCCATGTGGAGAGCACTACATGCCGTGCAAAACACAAGAGGTTAGTGAGTTGCTGTAGAAGTCTGATAAGTTCCTCCATGTCCTACTTCTCTGTCTGGACAGTTGGCGGAAACAATCACCTCGCAGTCTTAGTCTTACACACAACTCAGCTCGTTTTGTTTTCATGTTGCTTCTTGCATAATCCTGTGTATTGTAAAGGCTACAGCAAGTTATTGCCTTCTACCAATGCTACCGTCAATCACGGTGTCATCTCCTGCACTTTATCCGCCACGTCACAAACAAATCATATACTTTACTTCGGGTGAGCCCCAACATGAAACTTCAATCCTTTGTTTTCATGCCATGGTGCGGCGCATGTTGCTATGGTCGTGGGTGTTGTGGTTTTTGCCTTTGTTTGTGCGTCCTCGGGTTTGATTGTTATTTCAAGCTTAGGGAGTTCGCGTCGGGGTGTCGCCAGAGTCTCCGGTTGGCATGCAAAAGTGCTACCCTGCGACCACCTGCCACGCAAAATGCTACACAAACAGTCACAAACAGGTACGGTACTTATACTCAAAACTTTCTTATAATGTTGTAGTTGTGTGGTTGTGTGTTGTGGTCGTTTGCTGTGGTTATGTGTTTGCGGTTGTGCTTGAGGTTTCTGTGTTTGCGGTTGTGCTTGAGGTTTCTGTGTTTGCGGTTGTGTGTTGTGTTTGTAGTTGTGTGTTTGTGATTGTGTTTGTGGTTGTGTTTGTAATTGTGTTTGTGATTGTGTTTGTGACCGTGTGGTGTTTTGTCTGCTTGTGGTTGTGTTTTGTGTTTGTGTCTTGTGGTTGTGTGTTTGTGTTTGTGATTGTGGTCGTGTGTTTGTGATTTGCATGTTTGCGGCTGTGTTTGTGGTTACGTCCGTTGTGTGTTTGTGACTGTGTGTTTGTGGTCGTGTGTTTGTGGTTGTGTGTTTGTTCTTGCGTATTGTGTATTGTGTGGTTGTGTTGTGTGGTTGTAAGTTGTGTTTTGAGGTCCGGTAGTGCCCACTGCGATCTGGCGCTTGCGGTTGAGGTCCGGCGCTGCCCAGTGCAATCTGGCGCTTGCTGTTGAGGTCTGGGGCCGAGGAGAAGGAGGAGAAGACTATCTGACTATCTGAAAAAAATCAAACAGACCCTCACCTGACAGGTGGGGAAGAACACATGTAACAAGAAGTACCTGTAATGAGTAATGAGGTCTTTTTTCTCACGTGAGAAACAAACGTCCTCCTTACTCAAAACATCTCAATGGACCTCCGATGGACTCGCCAGGAGATACCGAGTCTTGAAACCCTCCGTCCGATGGACTCGCCCAAAACCGCTTCAAGCGTCTCCCAAGGGATGTGGTGGCTTCGATCTGGCCACGGATTCAACACTCGAGCAGGGACATCCCCTCTTGGTATAGATTTCTTGGACAGTTTTGTCAGTTTTGTCGTTTCCCGGGACCCTCCCCCTTTCTGATTCAGGATCAAGAACGGGACTGGGCAGTCAAGGAATGAAACAACCTTTTGGATTTCAAACACTACTCACTACTCCACCCACCAGACCCAGTTGAACCAGCAAAGACATAAACAATACAGTATACAGAAAGGAGTGATTCTGGAGCCTTTGCTCATCAAGTGCTCCGATTTTGAGTTGATTGCAGAACCATGCTCAGAAACGCAAGACCCAATTCACAGGCACATTCACAAAAGAATTTGTTCACGTCCGAGAAACTTGGATCACACATCAAGTGGACGGTAGAATTGGGCCTGATTCCGGACTCCTACAGTATACGGTATTTACCTGCTATGACCCTCACCAAACACCGGGGTCTACAAACATACAAACCCAGATTGCTCCGTACCACGACACCCAGTAAATCCTGAATCAGCTGGACATGAGCCTGAAAGGTCTTGACAAGTCGCTTGTTTCCCCCAATCCCGCTATAGTTTGCTTGTCTAAGCACAAAGTGCCCCCCTTGACAGGATTCCTATTTGACTGGAACACCTTGCTCATCGTTCTAAGGCCACACATCATGGACGCATCAAATATATCTTGACCACTATCTTGACCCTATCACCCTATGGGCAAGGGGGTGACTAGGAAGCGGAGTCAATGGTGAGTAGCTGAGCAACTCGGCGTTTCGCGTACTCGCCTGAGCTCGCGGTACTCGGCTGACGGATCCGTACTCGGCGTTCGCTTCCACCCACTGATCCATGCCTCCCAATCGAAAGACTCCACTAGCCGGTGCACGAAAGCCATCGAGCTCTGCTCTGGTGACTTTGACTCCGGGGGAGGGTGACTTCGGCTGCGCCGTGCCTCGGCAGGCGCGGCGGATGGAAAGGGCAGGTGGAAGGACGGGGGCGCCCATGGTCATAGAATTCGAATGGAAAGGGTGGTCACCAATTGAACAACATGTTATTCACTACCTATGCCTATGCATCGACAGGTCATACTATCATACCAGCTTGTCGCAATTGACTTGGCAATGCTTGTCTTCAAAACAATGTATGCATTATGCTATATATACTACCCGCCACTGACATAGGATTTGTCGGAGGTATGCTCAAAAACACAACTCCCATGTCATGAGGAAAGAGGCCACAAGTCCTAAGTCATGACGACAAAACTAGCAAAATCAGGAAACTTACAACACCCTCTTTAAGGATTCCTGGAATTGTAGAAATGCAGGACAAAACGCATGACTGGAGATTTGTGCGCCAAAACCAACCTTCTGGCAAAGCCATGACATAGGAAGAAGCTGGGTTTAAAGTTTAAATAAAGAGGCCGTCCTATGTCATGTCCGTGGCGAGGCAAAAATATTACATGACTGGAGATGAGAACGGTTCAAAAACATACAAGCGTTCCATGTCATGTGGTCCCGATATAGCACAATTTGATGCTCATTCAAAAAAATAACATATTTGCTGATATCATCTTTTGTGCGCAACTCTAAGTCATATGGCTTTTCATTTCACTCAGGTAGATGCACCTTTTTTTTCTGCTTCATGATGACTTGGGAAAACCGCCCCGGCAACTACCCATGTCATTGGTACCAACAAGTCCTAAGTCATTGGTCCTCAGTATAGTTCAAGTGGGAAAGTTCCAGGTCCTCACTTGACCATTGGGATTAGCATGGATTACAGTAGCTTTTCCGTTCGCAATCGACCATTCCCCTTTGAAGCACAGCGTGCATCTCCACATGCTAAGAAAGGGTGAAAACCAGTGCACCTCTACAGATCTCTCCATCAGCCACACTGGGCTGACTGGTTTCTATTCCCACCACGCTGGGGTGCCAAAAGCCAAGGTGCCGCTTTTTCTTCCTCCTGCAAGGGCGCACATATCGCAAGTTGTGAGGTTTTATATATAACTTGTAAGTTCAATTTGAAGTGCCATGTTTTTGTCGCCTCATCTATTTTTCGAACTGCGGCAACATTTCAGCTCAGAGGCGAACTTCTGGGATTTATTCATCGAAATCTCTAGGTGGCCGTAATCGCATGAACTGACATCTGAGGTGATTCAGACTGTGAAGTCCTAGAAGCCCCCACTGTCTCAACATGTGAACTGGGGAGATGCACTTTAGCTCAATGTTTTGTCTCAGGGAGAGTGAGGACTTGACTTGCCTCGAAATCTACAACCCTGACATATAATACAAACGACTAAATCATCCCTCAAACCAATGGATGGCCCATAGAAAGAATGTGTTCCCTCAGGGGTCTTCATCGGGTGAGTCCAGCTTCCAAGTTACTCTGGGAGAAACCCACATTCACTCACCCTAGTAGCTATATAGGTCTGGTCTCAAAAACATATTGGTAGAGTTGGCCCACTGCAAACTACTGGAGTCTTCCCCCAATTGAGACCGGCCTCTCCCCGAGCGGTATCAGTATCAGTCGTCTAGTTCTGTTACACTCATGACTCACGTGGCTTGAAAGTGGCAAATCACCTGTTCAAAGAGGAACCTCGTCTACAAAACTACTTTGTGTTCAGAGGGACTTGAAGGGCTGGAAACCCATTAGTTAAACACAAAAGGAATCAAAAGGGTGAGTCACCAAACAACAGAGCTCTGCCACCGCCGCACGGTGAGAAGAGCACCGTGAAAAAAACCACCGAACTCACCAGATGAGCAAGAACTTGAGCACACCCACTATGCAGCTTGGTAAGACACAAGAAAGTGCTTGGCATGTGTTTCACCTTGTGCTTGGCATGCGTGGAGCACATGACTCATGACTCATGACCCCCAGGCAAGATCCTCGATGACAATGAAAGTATGGCGGTACTGCAACTGCGCCATGGCTGCAGAATGGCCGACTGGAAGGGTAGTCGGGTAGTCCGGCTTTAAAGCAAAAACGGCACTGGCACCATGGAAAACTTCAAAACCAATGTCTACCCAGAAGATCGGAGGACCATACTACGAGGCAGGTTCTCCTGCACCAAATGCAGCAAAACATCTACGAACTACTTCAGTCTAACAAACTACTGTGCCAACACATAGAACCATGACTAGGCATCTCATCAATGTCAATCTCAGAATGGAAGAACAAACATCCAAAAAATAGCTGTCGCATGCTAACACCTGAAGTACACGAGGATACCTCACCTTGGTCTTACCTTGCTCGAGGGAAGCTGACTCTCATGCTGTCACATCTTTCTTGCGAAAACACACTTGCACCGCACTGTCAAAGGTCACCAACAGAAAACCTCGTGCCGCACTTTTTTCCCCTTGTTTTTCACCCAACTGGTTCATGGGTCGCCCATACTTCTTGGAATTGGTCATTAAAAAAGACTCTGAAAACAAGGACAGATCGATTTCCGGCTGCAACCGCCGCATCTCCTGGCACAATCCACGGCTCCGGTCACGTCACATACAAGGCATCACGGCATGTCGAGGGAAGAGCAAAGTAGAGCTTGATTCTTCCTGTGATTTTGTCCATAAACAGAACAGCACAGGTAAGAAACGCTCTACAATACTACTGTATAGATACTGAAAACTAGGAACAAACAAGCTGAACCACAGCTCTGTAGAGCTGCTTGATGAACCCTCAGGTTTTCGCGGACACACAGCGGTACAGCCATATTTTGTAATTTTATATATTTTAATATTTAAAATATGTATATATATAGATTGTAATGTATCTATGAATTATATACTGCCACAACTACTGCCACAATATGCTACAATAAAGATTCAATCCTGGACAAACCCGCTAACAAACATGTTTCTTGGTCCCTGTTCCTCTTTCTCGAAGTCTATTACCACGATCATGGTCATCTGAGTCATAAGGATTACCACGATCTGAGTCATCTACACTCCCATGTGGATGGGATGGCCCCTTGGAGGACCATTTTCCTCGGCTAGCAGGTCGTGAACTCCACTTGAATGTTAGGTGCCTCAGAGTGCAATTAGTATCCAACCACCTGGAGACTTGATAGATTCTTGATTCATAAAACCCTGCAACCCAAAAGTTTTGAGAAACCACACATGTTTTGTTGTTGCCTTTTTGATTAATTATATAAGAGTCTTACCATACCCGTACCCTTCACTCCCATCACCGACCCTCACCCGTGCGCTCGATTAACAAAAACGCCTGGATCGCTGCCCGTGCGAAGGGCTCAGCACCCAAGGCCAGGTAGCTTCGCTCCTGCGGGGTTCGTTTGGTCGAGGCATGGAGACCAACCAGCGTTTTTGGTATTCAAAGTGAAGTTCCGATAATTTTCTATGTTTTGAAAACATCTAAAATCCTCTAAACAAAACTAAACATTGTGTTCTTCAGTTTTCCATAAGTTTGAGGCTTAATATATATATATATATATACACCTTATATCTACAGTATTCTATAGTCTTCGAAGCAGCTCAGTCTGGAGAGACCAGAATCCCAAGTGAACAAACTCATCGTCAGATCCAACGGGACCGGGCAAGGTTTGGAAAGGATCGGCCGGGTTTTTCGCCTGATCCAAATGATCCAAACGTTCGATTCACCTCGAGGGTAAGCTATCTCTCACCCTCTAAAAGCCCTTCCAAAAAGAAGACACTTTGCTTCCAGTTCCCTCTCCCACGTCAACCCTGCCCTCTGGCTGCTGGTTGAGATCCAAGGGTGCCAGGCCTTGAAACTTTGATCCCACAAGCCCAGAAAAACCAAGTTTTCGATGCCTTCCAACCGCGCCACCGGCGCCACCGACGCCCGACGCGCGCCCGCTTGGCCAAGAACTTGAGCGGATCATCAACGCGGAAGGCCTCGAAGCTCCGTGCGAGTGCCTGGACGATCTGCGAGTGCCGTGACGCGCGTGCCGATTTGCGGGATTTCCACCATGTTTGGGACTCGTTTGGGATTGCATATTGCAACAAGTGAGGACCCGGGTCCTCAACCCTTTTGAACCAACGACTACCTTCACATTCAGTGATGCTTCTTGCCTACACACGAATGCTGCTGCACGAATGTCATGCACGGCACTCGCTTGAGGCTCAGGAGCCTCCAGCTTGAGTCAACAAGAGGCATGACAAGTTTTTCTAAAAACGATGAACAGCTTGGACAGCTTGGACGCGACGTTGATGTCGACACGACGCTGGTTATTCAATGTCTGAAGATTGAGCTGCTCGAAGTCCACTAACGGCTCAAGAAGTTCGCCCACGATGGCCTAGTTTTCAGTTCCTTTGCTCAACATCATCTGAGGGCGCGTGAGCCGCCTTTCATTGCGGGGCTCAAACGCATCGTTTCGCCGTGGTGATCGCCGTACGACACACAGGGTGTTCTTCATTGGTTGCCGAATACGTTGCGAGTGTCTTGCAAGGGGGAACCTCCAGCAGAAGCCATTCTAGGTTGGGGGAAAGCGTGGAAATATCCTAGCAAAACACATGGGTAGGCAATTGGCCAAGATGAGGTGATCAATCCCCTGCAGAGATCCACAAAAAATAACCGTCTATGAGTATGATAGAGAACAATCTGCGATTTTTGCCCCCAAAACGAAAGCACCATTGACATTGATGAACAAAACATGTCTTGGATTCTTGGATCCAGTACTTGTTACGTGTCCTTCTTTGGGACCGTTTTTCTTCGCTTCACACCTGCGAAGAGGACCGCCGTCCCCGTTCCGGCGTGCCACACCTCCACGCCAGGGCTCCTGATCAAATTCCCAGGCAGGGTTCCATTCAGGTACTTGCGGAGCTCCCGTTGATCTCAGCAGTCGAAAGGTGCTGGAGGATCTTGTTTCAACATCCAAGGATTCTTGCTAGATGTGAAACATCCTTAAAAATCCATGCAAAACACCATGTACAAATGTAAACAAATAAGCTGTGATACGGAAACAAACACCATGCAATGCTTCGATCTCCTTACATCGAAGCACCCAGCGCCGGTGAGATGAACCGAGAATTCGGCGACGATTCTTTGCTCGTCCGTTGCTATGACTCCGGAAAGCCACGTGCTCAGTCTTAAGGCAACCGATCCAAAATGATCCAAAGATAGTTAGTTGGTACTCAAAAGGCATTGTCGGTATAATTCGGTATAATTTAACAGAAAAACGGATGAACATGCATTTACTCTCAGCTTCTGGCCTGTCTGTTCTGACCGTCTGTCGCTTATTATGCCAAGCAACTCAGGACCAAGAGCCTCGCATAGTCCAGCACTCTCAATCCAAACAGTTGCGCTCGCAAAAGCCTTGGTGAGACAACTCCGAGCTTGCGTGATGTTACATGGACGCCACGGCATGGTCCTGATTTCGGATGACCATGAACTCGACCAAAGGGTCGGTGGTGAACTCACTCCGAGACAAATCATGTGAGCTTTCCTCGGAGTCATGATGCCTCTGGAGTCGCAAGACATCAGACCTGTACACGACTCATAGACTATAGGGCAGAAACGGGCCTCCTCCAGTACAACCACTGATGGAACACCTAGCTGGGGGGTTGACGGTTACGAAGCTGGAGGTGATTCCAAAAGGAATTCCGAACTTTCCAAGCGATGACATCTGACAAGTGCCCCAAGCTTGCTCAAAGAGCACGCGACAAAAGCTTGCTATTGTCTTTGTGAAAATGCGACTCACTCCTTATATCAAGCCATCCAAGCCATGTAGAAAAATGGACGTTCTGAAGAAACGAAAGCGAAACAAAACGAGCTTGTCATGTCAACCTGCCATGTGTTTGTCGTGATCACACCCCTATATCTACTCTCTATGCCTCCAAAAAGTGAACACATTTTGTCACCCCAGCCGAACCGCCGTCGCAGTCTGTCTCCAAACCGCAGTCGATGTCTCCAGGGGGCGGGAACCAGGCCACCAAGTGCGCAAAGACCAGGCCAGATGGGCCTGGAAAGACACCAGTCCGGCTTCTGATCCGATGTACCAAGGCCACAGTCCAGCGCGCTGTCGGATGGTGGACCACCCACGTTTCTCCCCGCAAAGGGATATATTAACACAAGCACGCCAATTAGTATCACGTGAGTGCTGCGACGCGCTGAAAATATGGTTGGCTGCTCTGATGGAGTTCTTTGTGTTCGAAAGGCCATTATCGTCAGCTCCCTCTACATCCTCCATTCTCTTTGGAGCTGTCTCCGAGCCCAACAACAGGGCTGCCTAGTGCTGGCGAATCGGTGATAAGTATTGCTTAGTTGGATGATGTCCAATTTGTTTGGCGTGTGTGCTCTAGATTTTGACTCACATCCATGGGCGAAACAACCCAGGTGTAATGGCCAAACAACCCAGGACACCTTCGCTGGCGTACGACTGGCGGTTTTCTTCCCCACTGCCGCAGTACTGCCCCCCTAAAACCCTAGTTAGAAGTGCTGAAACAATAACAGGAGCTCTGCTTCTGCTCTTTGAATGGTCTATGACCTACCAAAGGGTCAACGTGACATCCCCACAACTTGTGGACCAACACACCTTTGTCGTTTCAAACAGAGACGTTAAGGTAGATTTCGGGAGATGACATATATACCGAATGCGCATACGCATATATATATATATGTACACACCATCATATACCTATACCTATATAATACTTGTACGGTCAATTTGGCAACCAAATCCTTATATATCTAGCACTTGTAGTTGATGCATGCAAGGTATGCAAACATGTCGTTCAATCTAATGGTTTCAACATCCGCGAACTGATTTACATTAGAGTTTCAGAACAAAAGTCACCTAAAACTAAAACCAAAATTACATAGTGTTTGCTGTTCCGGCAACACAAAGAAACATGATGAACAATAACTCTTCTTCTTTTGGTTAGTCCAGAGTCTACCTCTGGATTGAAAATGGTCTCCCCTACGGACTCGGCTCTCCCGGTATGGATGGCTGAAAAAACTCAATGAAAAGGAGTTCTTCCAAGGGTTCTTCGATATTTTCCCTGTGATAGGTTGAAAGAATCCCCGATCAAACATGGGCTAACAACATGCTAAAAGCTTCCCCAGCCGCACATTGGCATGATGAAAACGGGCATGACCTTTCGGACATCCCGTCAAAGGACACTGGGATCTCTAAGACCACATTCTCAGTGCATTCGTTTTAAAGCAGTCATCACGAGTCTGGGCCGTTAAAAAAGTAAGCAAATTGATAGTACAAACACAACATCCCAACTCTTCTCAACAATTAATTACATGTGATTGTGGGCAAAATCTCTCTCTCTCTCTATACACCACTAGGACAGGTTCCAAATTGACAACCCTTTCCGCGTAGAATCCTGCAAGTCGCTTATGTCGCCTCACGCTGTCGAATTTCCTCCGAAGCTGTTTTAATTGATTTTAATTGTGATACATTAAAAAAGAGGGGAATAAAAATCACCGTCCCACACTGGCCACGCGAAATGGACTTCTTACTTCGACAGCGGCTGATTCACACAGATGTTATAAGACCCGGTAAAATGACAAGAACATTCTTCCTCCTGAAGTATATAGTAATAAATATATATACATACCTGGATCTTGCAGCGCCCTAAGCTCTTGCCTGATGCATTTTTCAGTTTTAGCCAAAAAAACACCGTGCTCAAAATCCTAAACAGAGGCGAAAGGCAAACGCCATTTTGACGCCAAAACACGGGGTAGTTGTTCCTGTAGTTTTTATTTCCACCGCGCCGCCACAGCATTTGCCGTTTTCTACCGTATCATATCAGAACCAAACAAACTGTGGTGTTACTGAAAAGGCAATGTTGGTATATATTATATACTTGAGGACAGTGGGGACGAAAGCGAGGGGTGTGGAAGGATCAAGGGGACGCGGAGGGAGGGCAGCAACGCAACGCTTTTGTGCCACGAGCGCAAAGTGTTGTTGGCTGAGTCAGTCAACCGAACACTTAAATAAAAACTCGGCTTTCATTCTCACAAGGACGAGGGAGGAGTCGAATAGCCTCTTTCAATTCACTTTACAGATCTGCTAATTGAAATATCAATTCCTTTGCGAGGGGTGTCATTGAAAGAATCAATAAAAAGGGAGGGGGGGGCCCCCCCCCTCGGCTGACCCCTCCCTTTAATTGAAAGAATCAATTAGCTCACTGAACCTTTCAATTTTGAGCCTCACCATATTTCGTAAACAACAACTTCCGCTGAGCTCCTTCTGAGCTTGCTTTCGTGATATACTATACACACAACATGTATCTATTATACTGTTATTTAGAAGATACAGTAGGGCTTCAATCGCGTAAAGGGAACATGTTCATCTTCTTATATGTTGCATGTCTATTTCTGTGTTTTCTATGTGAAACAGCAGGATTTGTTGCACCCGAACCCTCACGAGAGCCGAGCATGGTCTTTCAGCCCTGACCAAAAAGAAATGGAACCTGCGAATCAGTGATTGGCCAAAGAACAGGGTCTCTCAAACGTAATGTTGACTGTTCAATATTTGTGAGCAACACTATATGAGGTATCCATATTAGACCCGCTATACAAACATCCTTTTGTGGTGCTGGTGCCGACTCCAACCTGTGAAACATGTGCGGACAAAGGCACTCAACCACGGAAAAGAACCAAGCTCCCAGCTCCCCAAGGATTCCTCCAAGCTCCCAGCCTTGTCGTCCACCCACCAAGCGAGCTCTGCTGAGCCAAAAACGTTGGAGACCCCGCATGGCGTCGTCGTTGCTGCGGTGCGTGGTGTGCGCATGTTGGCGTCGGGCAGTGTACCGGTTCAAAAAGGTAGAAGGTTTGACTTGGAGCTTATTTTATGGTCAATATATATTGTTTTTTTGGTCTGATTTTCATGATGTGGGTTAATCTGTATTCTATTTCATTAGAATATTACAATAATAGTGGTCTGGGCTTGGGTCTATGTTTGGTGGCATGGCATGGCCATGGTGCTATCCCGGGCGCCCCTTGAAACCAAACGACTTGAACACCTAAGAAGGGGGTTGAAGTCTACTTACATGATTTGAAATTTGGGTTCGGAGAGTCTGATATGGATGGAAGATATTGGAAGTCAACTTGCTTTCGAATAAATTCTTTCTCCGGATTTATCAGGAAACTTATATACAGTACTTATATACTGTAAAGGCTTCGAGAAGGTAAGGTGCAGGTGTTCCGGCTTCAACTGTACTTCGTGTCGTGTCTCATGTTCAATCTTGCGCTTCACATCAAACAACTTAAAGGACGACACCAATATATTGAATCATAGGCTTTCTGAGCAAAATAGCTTGTTTGTGGACTCTGCCGTTCTCACCTTAACAAATCCTTTGAACAATGCATGGGAATCCAAACTAACTGGTTCAAACCAATGACATGTTTTTTCCTCAGAGGATTGTCTAATTGGATGATCCCACTGGCACAACAAATGGGTGAACCATATTAAGACTTCTTTATGGTTTGCAACCCTCGCAGAGGATGTCTGCGATTTTCATCTGGTGCAAAGAACAGCTCGGTTGCACCAGGTTCACCCCATTCAGCCCCCCATGTGCGAATCAATCACAAAGACAGGTGGTTAAGCTGTTTTTGGTTCTGCATCACTTCACTGCCAACATACCGAGGTACGGAGATCGATCCGATACCACATGTAGTCTTTATTTTAAACTACTCATCTTCAACAAACATACGAAACACATGAGCCACATCCTTAAAATCACTGGCCAAAGTGCCAAACTTGGAAAAGAACGTCCGCGTTGTTGCTGCTCGCCCTGCCTGAAGTCCGCCATTTCAAAAGCTCGAAGGATCTGTTGATACCAACACTCTTTGCACAACGCCCGGCTGGAGTTCGACATCGGGAAACCTCGAGACACACGAACTCGTTCGACGGCGACGGAGTGGATGGGGGTGGAGGATGGGAGGCTCCCGGGGCCGGGAATGGCAGGGATGAGGTAGACGTGGAAACGAGGCAATTGGACTTGTTTGAACCATTTTTCAGACGTTCGCCATGTTCGCTCTATCACACATCCCTGATGCCACGCTGCGCCGTCCGCCCATGGCGATCTCCAGGGAGCAGTGGGCTCGATGTCGGTACAGCGCGAAGGCGATGATCGCCTAACCAATGCGTGCCCAATGGAGACCTATCATAAGTAGGGTAGGGTAGTCTATTGGACAAGCATTGGATGATCCTGGTATATCTAAGACATGCGACAAAGAATGTGCGAAGACCTATATCTAAGACATGGTTTCTCGATGTTAAAAAGTTGACTCGATTCTCGATCTTTCACAGATCTAAAAGCTGCTGGCTGACCGCCACACCAAGCCGTTCACATCCGTTCAAAATCCGAACTTCTGAGAGACAAACAGTGGATTCCTGGGGCTAGGGATGGCTAGGGTTTCTTTTTTTGACATCGTTTCAGTTCTTTTGCATGAGTTGGGTTCAACCAAGAACAGCGTTTCCCAAGAGGTATGCAAAGTACACTGCTTGATCCTTTCTTTTCGTTCCAAACTGTGTGTGTGTGTGCTCAGTCTAAAATCTACATGCTAACGCACCGTTGCCGTTGAAACCACTTCAAATCACAGGGAGTGTTGAGTCAACCAAGGCAAGAGTGAAGTCAACCGGGCGAAAGACGGTGTGCACATACTTAATTAGGCTGAGACTGTGTAGTCAATTGATGTGGAAGAGCCGTGGCAGTATCCAACATCATATTTGCTCAGTGTCCCCAGGTCATCCAGTTGGTGCAGCTGGGTCTCTGGTCGCAAGCCGGAGCGATGGCGCATTTCCAAGTACTTCGACACCTGGAAAGCAATCGGGGGGCGAGCTCCCCCTCATTGTCGTGACATCCCCGAATCACAGTGAGAATTCTCCCAAGTTCAGGTTTCACCTCGGTCATGAGAACCTGGCCCTTCTCAACAGCCCAAGTCTTTCCTTCCACATCCGATCGCCCTCAGATCCGAGTGCCTGGAAGACATTAATGATCTCCTGGCGAAGTGCTACGAGCCTTCAGGTGACTGCATTGGAACCAGGTGATTGGACTGAGACTTCCCCTACAGGTCAGTTTGACCTCAAATTTTGTGGAGCTGGTCACGCAAGAAACACAACTCAATCAAGGACCAGGTTTATTCTGGGTCTTTGGACGAATCCAACCCAGGGTTCTACCGATTCGCCGGGTCAAAAACTTATCAGCCTTATCCTTTCGTGGCATACGGAACTTCCCAGGCGAGGCGGGTGAGGCGGGGTTTCACCGTGGCTTGGGGCTTCGTAGTCCTTGACACTTCAATCCAGTGCGATTTGGGTCGGAAGATGGCGGAGCATAGCGCAGCTGAATCACGGTAACCCTGCCAAGCCCGTTAACCCGGTAACCCAGCCAACGATGCCTACAAGTGCCAAGATCTGATACATTCGTACGTTGTGTTGGAATTAGATCTGTCTGACAGCGCTCCAGATCTCATCTCCTTGGTGAGCACCAGCCCAATTCGGGTGACGTCGTGCTTGGGATTCATCCAGCCTGCAGGGCATGGCCTTCTTTTACCAGCCCTGTAGTCGAGAAGCTTGGAGAAGTTCCAGGAGATGGTGGATGAGGTGTGAAATTTCAAGCTCATGAGGTGCTAAATCTCCGAGAACAAGTGTAGAAGAGGATTCCGGTATACCGGTAGGTTTTTGTGTTGTTGTTTTTTTTTGGGTGGAACTTCAAAATACAATATGTAAGTGCTTTGGGCGACTTACTGTAAGTAGGGCGAAACCCTCCAAAGCAAAGACAAATGAAAACCACTGTTGCATGAGTTTTAAGTCTTAAGCAAAGAACAAAACCGTGGCGTGATGGTGTAAAGAACCAGAACTCCCCAAACCAAACTAACCCGACTGCGCTGATCAGATGATTCAAAATTATATAAACTCAAGTTTGGAGTTTGGGAAAATCCTCAAAACCAGAAACAAAGCTGAAAAATCAGCAACATATTCAGGACTTGCAAATAATTTCATGAGTTTGGCCTGAGAGTGTGAGTCAAGCCTTAGAGAATTCTCCAGCCATGCTCAAGCCAAACGCAATCAGCATCTCAGCAAATTACTTCTTGCTGAGTCGAAAAGATTATATAAAGAATTCTCCAAACTCAGAAAACCTATCGGAAACACGCATTCTTGCTTGATGATTGTTGCTTGAGTTTGGAGAGTTCACCCAACTCTAGGGAACTGCAACAAATCGGATTTGTTTGACTTGTTCTGAGTCTGAGTCTGGCAAGTTTAGAGAATTCTCCAAACTCACGCAAAACTCAGCAAAACATATGCAATCCCAGGTGTTTTGAGCTTTGGAGCGCTTTGGCTTGATTTTGGACAATTCTCAAAACTCGCCAAAGTCAGGTGAACCTCAGGATTTTATCTATATTTTTAATGTTACCTTCAAACTCAAGCCAAGCTCAAAAGGTGCTTCATTTTGTCCTGAGTCTGGCGAGCTTGGAGAATTCTTCAAACTCATGCCAAAATCAGCAAAGGGCAAGGGAATGAATAGAAAAAGGTTTGGCAGTTTGGCTGGAGAAATTCCTGAGTTTGGCATGAGATAAAAAATCTCCGAACTCGTCAAACTCACGTCAAACTCAGCAAAAAGGCTGAAAAGTCTTGGTTTTGTGGCCGACGTGAGTTTGGAGAATTCTCCAAACTCAAGCCAAACTCGGAAATGTGTCAGCTTTAAACCCAGGCCAAAGGCAGCAAAGCCAATGCGATTATATAGAAGCAACAAAACAACTTGCTGAGTTTGGAGAATTCTCCTCAGATGAAATCTCATTTGTCTTTGCATTTAGAACAATTTTGCACCAATTCCGGACAAAGAGGCACTTTTGGTGTTCTGCATACGCTGCACTGTGTTCCACATAGGTGTTTAACTGCACTCCCAGGTTCAATGTTGTTTCAAAGAGAACCGTTTTTGCATGTTTCATCTGGGACACATTTTTCCAAAACATGCCTCTACTCTTCCTCATGTCCTGCCCTTAGCTACTTGCGAAAGTCAACAGGATGAGGGGTCTAAGAGCACCAAGTGTGGTTTGATGAGAACTTCACCTTGTTGCATGGCTTCTTTTGCTAAGGGTTACATCGGTCTCATGTCGAATCAAGGGCATTGCCACAGAGCAGCAGCTCGAAAGTAGAGCTTTAAGGTGTCACTCTACATGCCGCTCTGAGCGCTCTCCCGACCTTTCCAAGGCCAAACCAATGCTGATGGCAAGGGCTCTCCAGCTGTGGAGTAGCCTGTCAAACGCATCTCTTGCACCTGCCCAAACACGCGCCCCGATCGTCGGTGTCGGAAGTGGGAATGATGGCTCTAAGCTTTTCGACATGTCCAGCTATAGCTGGTATCCTGGACTACGGAGATCGAACTTGATATACAATCCTGCTCAACATGTTTGCGGCCCACTAAGCTAATATTTTATATACCTAGAACCCGAGTGACCCCTCTTTTGGAGAATTTAGGAGGTTTATCCAAAAGGCTGCCTTTTCCTACTATACGTACTATCAAAAAAAAAAATCAAATTGGTTTTAATTGGTTCTCGGTATATAAACATACTGCAAACTCATGTCGAGTACGGCTGGGATCCAACACCGCCTGGCGACCTGCCTCCGAATGGGGATACTTGGCAGTCCGGTTCGCACACATGCATCGATGGAGGTCAATTTGTCATGGCAAATTGCTTAGGACGGCACCTTCGGAGGATCAACATGGATGAACAGTTTTAAGCTGACGCATGATTCCCTGGGACGATGTTGCCTTTCTTCCGCGGTGT